AGTAACCACCAAACCCACACGATTCTCTCAACATGCTCATCAATCTTGATAAGAAAAAAAAAATCGTTATTAACACGCACCTCATTCTCGCTGCGAAATTACCCTGCAGCTGAATGCTTGTGTTCAGTGAACAAAGAATAAAACCGCAGCCGGGAGTGACGTCACCGAAAAACAATGGGTCACACGGTACAAAATACTGCTCTTTGATTGGTTATCAGCTACACCAGCGACATATACTACTTTACACAATATTGTAATTTCCAATCGTCAATTGGAAATAACAGCCAAGACTATTTTAGACATGATACCTGTTTTCTCTCCCTGCTAAGTGTTGTGCGCTAAAGTTATTTCCTTTTTAGGTTGCTCATTTGTTCAAAACCCACGATGACCTGGTTTCTACTAACGACCAAACTGAAAAAACAGAAATAGCCCTTAGCATTCATGTTAACATTTTTCAATGACTGCCAAATTACGACAACTTCACGTGACTCAAAAAAATGTTCATGGACAAGCAACGCCAGAGAATTAAAACGCGCCACTCGCAACTAACCCCTTTGCCACCCTCTGTACATGTTAATGGTTTTTAGGGCTTGTCTAAGACTTTGACAGTTAATTTCTGATCATTCTTATCAGCGTTCAGAGCCAGTTTTTCTCACACTTTGTTTCCAAACCAAGTAATGAATATGAATCCTGAAATGGGGCGATTTTATGTTATAAATGACGCGTTGCCCGCGAAGTAAGAAGGCCTTGAATAAATTGCATGGGAAATTTAGGCTTAAAATAGACAAAAGTAATTTCGTAAAAAGACGCTTCAAACGGCCCATGAAGGCGAAAAAATACCTCAAAAGAGTTGATTAACATTTTATTTAACTTTATTGAGATATTCAGACCGAGATGTAATTAAGATATGTATTTTTCAGTGCATTATTCATAACCCTCATAGATTTTGTTCGTCTCATGTCAACAATTATTAACATGCCATGAACACATGATGTGGTCTGCCTGTGGGAGTAGTTTCATCGTAAGCTTGTTCAACCAACGAGCCGTAGGGCACACACCTAAAGTAAACTTGGATCGCAACGTAGTTCGAAAAAACAATCGGCGTTTTCATATACCGGGTGATTAGCTTCCACGAGTTTGGAGTCGACTTATTACCTGAAGTATTTACAGCCGAGTTGGGAAACTGATCACCAAAATCTAAAACGAAGATCAAAGAGTGGGGAACAGGGAACGGAAAACGGGGACCGAGTGTGCAGCGGTAATATGCACAAGAAATTAAAGACACAAAAAATATGGCTTCCATTGCTGACTTGTCAGTGGGATAACAATGCTACTTAAGACTTCAACATGGGATACTCTTTGCAATAATTTCAAAATGTTTTTCTTAGTGTCTCTACGATTAGCATATATCTTAATGGCGGACGCCTTCCCAGACACTTCTCAAAGAGACGATGAAGCCTTTTGAAAGGAAAACTGACAGTATAAGAACCACTGACTCATTCAACGGTTGCTTTTAAACTTCTCGGTCGTTTTTTTTACAAGATGTTCGTGTCATTGAAATATGATGTGTTTGAATTCTCCGCTGAAATAGCCAGTTTTATCTTTAAGCGTTCTTGATTCAACTTCTTGATATCATCGAACTCGTCCTCCTGTAAAATATTTCAGTTTTCTTTTAAGCACTGACCCTTTTAAGCGTGTTTTTCAAGGACTATTATTAATAAAGCTGTCCTCCTTAGGAAGCTGTTATGTTTTGTTCTGTCCATTGGCCTATAAAGCGCGCAGGAGTCAGCTTATACTCTAATTCTTGCCTTAGATAGTTAGAACATAGCCTTCCGCTCCGTCTTCGTCAAGGAGGAAAGCCCTGAAATTAACTGAAACTCACATGAAACGATCAAAGAGAAAATTCTTATCAATAGCGATTTGGTAAAAATTTTGACAATAAAAATCAACGGTAAAACATGACATTTCGACCATGCTTCGGTCATTTTCAAGTGATGGTAAGAATGTAACGATGAATATATATATATGGGTGTAAGAAGTGTAGAATTTTTGGAAGTGTAAACGGACACTAAGAACATACAAAAGAAGATATAATTAGAAGCTAATTAAAAACCAATAAAAAATTGAAAAAACCTAATTAAAAACCTTTGCACGAATTGCTCTCAATGTGCAGTCGGACTCAATTCATGCAAAGGTTTTTAATTAAGTTTTTCAATTTTTGTTTGTTTTTAATTAGCTTCTAATTATTTCTTCTTTTGTATGTTCTTATTGACCGTTTACACTTCCAAAAATTCTACACTTCTTACACCCATAAATATATTCATCGTATATAAATATATTACGTGGCGCTCCTATGTCTCTGTGGCTGAGTGGTAGAGTATCGGAGCGCGGAATTTCACACTCGTGACAAGACGAAAAACATCTTTCTCTGTTCCTCAATATGTTTCTCAAAACTTCTTACCATTTAGGCGAAGCGGAAACTTAACTGAGACACATCCAAAGGCCATTGATTTTGCTTACGCTCTAAAACCTCTCAAATGTATTAAACCAAAATATCTGGCTAAGCCCTTACCAGGCAAAGCCGGGAGAAAGGTATTTCGGGAAGGTGCAGGGGCAGAAAGAGATAACAGCGTGAAGCAGTTGGAAAAGAAGACAGGCGTGCACGAAATTCCTTGAATAATTTGGGAGGAACTGTTACCTCGTTTTGCAAGGAAAAAAGGAAAAAGAAACATTTAAAAACGTGTTTCATACGGGGCACCTCCAACAGGAACTTCGGCTTGTTGTTCCCGTTCCACCATCCAAAACTGAAGCAAAGTAAACTCGTCCTAAAGAAAATAAGGCGCCTGCACAGTTTCCCTTAGCGCATAAGTTATCAAAATAGTCGAGCGTAAAAGCATTTGAAGGCGTGGTTCCCATTAACAGACTATCTAATGTGTTATGGAACCAGTAAAATGTTGTCATATTGCTGTGCGTCATGCATAAGCAACCCTCTAATAATCAAACAGAAAAAAAAGCAAAAGCAAATAACACTAAAACAAGTCATTTTAAAACCCGCGAACCACGACACGCGACCAGCTGTCAAACTCCACTAACAAGGTTGTCGACTTGTTCAAAACTACTATCGAAAACAGTTTATTTCAGGACTACTCCCACCCGGACGGTCAGACTATACGATAACATTTTCTCTCCAGGATTTAAACCATTTACTGTGTGTACCTGTGTGTTATATACTCCAGCACACTCCACTGAGGTAAGACAACAAAAGACGACGATAGCGTGAGAAGCATATATTTTCTTCAACATGCCTAACTGACTAGTAAGTGAGTCTTTACCGTTGAATTGTTACTTAACCGAACACACGAGCATTATGAATGTGAATAGGTTTAGCAAAATCTAAAAGCGAGGCCCTACATGAATTTCCTCGCACGTGCAATCCACGGAGATCTAGTAAAGGTTACTCCAAACCTTCGTGGGTGTCTTCCTCGAGAAAATTCTTGGGCACTGTTTTAGGGAGACCACTACAACTGACTTGCTGCGCTTTGCTAAATGAAACCAAAGGCAAAAAACCGGATGAAACGATCCACTTAAAATCATGTTTTGGAAGTTCTTGCCATTTGTTACATAGTAGTCTGCGAGCAGGCGCTCATTTTGAGACAAAGAGTGATTTACGAATGGAAAACATTAGAATGTGAATTTCATAGTATAAATTCAACAAATTTTAAATTAAGAAATATGTTACTTAGAGGATATCACTAAGTAACGTTTTAGCAGGCTGCCTGTGCAAAGCTTTCATTATTCTGCGGTGTTGGGATAGCTACAATCATTCGGTAAGACATTCAAGAAAACTGACGAAAAAAAGGGACCAAAATATAAATCTTTTTTGGAGAGGGAATTTAGTATTGTCAACTGAGTTAAGAACGTAAATTGGCCACAATAAAGAGTTTCAAAGCTGACGTTTCGACATTAGCCTCTTCTCCTAATTAACCCTGTTATACTCTTCCACCGACACAGCACCATAGTTTCTTTAGAAACGTACCCTCTTTATTCATTTGTCTTTTTTTAAAGAGTTCTTTCTGTCGACTTCACCTTATCGAAGGTAAGTTTTGATAAAAATAACCGATGCCGGCCCACACCCGCACAGTTCAAGGTAAAATTTTTTCAAGTTTCCAAGAACATACCGACTCGAATTTGGGTCTTACCTGTTAAAAGAAAAACATAACCAGTAACCACGTGTTCTTTCAGAGGACGTTTGTTTAGATGATGGTCTCAATGGGTTAGTGGCTTTTACAGCTATCGGTTAAATATTTCGGCCACTTGATGTTTGAAGGTTAATTTCCCCAACGGTCAACAGAAATGTTATAAATTCACTTCAAGTATTTTGCAAAGTTCATTACTAATTTGACTACCAGAGGTAATCTACAAGGGTTATTCCAGATTAAGCTGCTGTTGTGCTGATATAACCCGAAATTTTGGCTTGGTATTTATGACCAAGAAAATCCGGCGATAAGATTTCTTTAGTAAAATACTGAAATTAATTCTTGACTTACATCTTTCAATTGGCCTCTCCTCCGTTGCTCGATATAAATGAATTGTGCCTTTCAGGAGAGCCATTCCTCACTCACTGAATGATGAAATTCGAGATTTTCTAAAGTAGTCAACAGTCTATCAACGTACTGAATAATTAAGACGTGTCATTAGGTAGCTCATAGGTATATCATGTGGCCTTCTTTAAGCATATATCGATCCTACCAAACGTGTGCCAGAGACCAAAAACAGCGAAAAAGAAACGATCCAAGTGTTCTTTGTGATAACCTCGAAATTTGAGATATTGCTGAGATATCAGACCATTATTGGATCTTCTACATATAGACAGTTTAGGATAAATTTTAACTTTGGTCCTTTTTTTTTTCATAGAATTTTAGGAAGGATTTCATTCATGTCACTTCAAAACAGTCTTCACTGTAAACCTTGATTATATCAATGTATTAAATAGCATTACTATGGGTCGAATGCAGCATCTCTACCTGGTACTCGCCATCGTAACTTTTTTGTTTATTATATATCTCTCATCAAATCTTCACGTCCACACTAAGAGTCGTCCTAGAGCATTGGCTAACGATTTAAAGCGCTTAGAGAACCTTAGGGGCTTTGCAAGAAGACTACGGCGCTTACTAGTAGAACTTTTTGAGACACAAGAGGGCTTGATACATTCGCAACGGCAGTTCTACCGTGTTAAACGACATATTCAACATGTGAAGCAAATGATAAAATTCGTGGATGGACAATCAAAGCATGTAGACAAAGTTCCTGGCGATTCCTCTTCAAAAAATCATGTTACAAAGAGAGAGGTTTGTCCTGAGAAATTCATGGGAAAGGATTCTACTTATGGGTATCCATTTTATAGGAAAGGCTTCCAGGGGGAAAATTGCACAGACTTTGTTCCAATTGATGAACTTGTGACGATGATTTTAACGTCACCAAGGGAACTATCACCTGAAAAGCTACAAAAAGTCTTTGAAGGCATTGCCACATATTATCCAAGTGTTCCTGTAATATTTGTGTCAAGAAAAACTTTACGGTTATTAAAGAGGCTGAAAGAACCAAGTTTGAATTTAAAGCACATGGGATCTGATGACCTAACTCATGGACAAACATGGTCTGAGTTACTCAAGATGGTGACCACACCCTATGCACTCTTTGCACCAGATATCACTTACTTCACTGATGATGTTAATCTTGAACGCCTTGTACGGGTACTGAGTGAGAACAGGGATGTCATCATTGCAGGAGGAAGCCAAAAGAATCAACGGGGGGAGTGGGACAATAGCTGTCGTCAAGTGCAATTCAGAAATTGGACTGCATACTTTTCAGATGGGTATTACCACTCGTTTAATGACTGTGTACAATGTGATGTGCTGCTTGGTCCATTTATGGCAAAAACCAAAGAACTCCAGGAACTTGGAATTAATAGAAAGTAAGTTTGTATTTAAGTTCTTTATGTAAATTTACCACTACATGAGGGGAATAGGGACAGATGCTCGGGAGAGCAATTTTAGACGAGGAAGGTGCTTTCTGAACTGTTTGTGTCCACACACAACTTGTTTCTTTGAGCTCACTGCAATGAAAGCCCGTCAACAGTTACTTAGGAGCTTCGTTTTCAGTTGTGTGTATAACCCGAAGGCTGCATTTACAGGCCTGAATTGGTTCACGGTACTGGGTATTTCAATACCCATATTTAAGAATGTGGATTAAGGAAAAAGCATAATGTAGTCTTAACATTCTAAATTCCAATTCGACCAGGAAACATTGGACAAGTCTCCCACCTCACCTCTCAATGGGATGGAGCCATAGAAAGAGTGTGAATTTCCTTTCAAAGTGAACACCTCAAGATTTCATTTGTTATTTCTTGCTTTTCTAGACTACATTTCGGTGCCTTTCAAGATTTATTCTGGCGATTAAAACTCAAACATCCAGAGAAAGTTGTTGCCAGCTGCCCTGATGTCATGTTCGACACTTACGAGCGAGAAATTCCAGATGAAAAATATGTCGCCTTGGCTAAAAAATGGGATTTGAAGAAATGGGTAGAGTCTAATGGGCGAGTGCGTTGGTATGGATGCAGGAGAGGCGGACATGCACATAGCGGTAAATCTTCTTGTCGTTTTCGAGCCAAAGGACTCGCTGTTCCTCCTTGTGACTTGGAGAATCTCGCTGACATAGTCAAGTTTATCCTGAATGAATGTGAAAAAGCTGGGATTTACTGTCAACTTAATGCAGGAACATTATTAGGTAATGTGCTCATGTGACTACTATATTTGAGGGACGTGCAGTTTAAATAGACTCCGTTGCCTTTTCAGGATCCATATAGGTTGGTCTTACTGATAGAAGAAACATTAATGACAGGAGAAGGTCGCTCTGACCTATATTAGTCCTTGATATTTTTTAAGGATTCGTTTATAATAGATATTCTTGTTCTGTTGAAAAGACAACAAAGTTATTTTAATGTCAATGACAGTTGTTTCTATTGATGTCAAAAAGAGTAATACCATCTGGAAACCTCCCCTCTAACTTTGAGGTGGCCAGAGTGCCACCATTACCATGGTCATCCCAAGATGGCATTAAGAAAGTTTTAAGTGAAACATTTCAAGCTAATCAACTTTAATTTTTCTCTGTTGAAGGTGCTGTTAAGTTCAAAAAGGTGTTGCCATGGGAGCGGGACGCTGACATCTTCTTTATTTCAGACAACTACACAGCAATTAAAAATCTTCGTCCAAGATTTGAAGCGGCAGGCTATAAATTTATAGATAAAAAAGGAACAGAATGCTGCACAAATGGACGCATGAAATCTGGCATTTTTAAGATCAAAGGAAATGGCTGGACTGTTGACTTGTGGGGAAGACCGACTCTTGAGGCCGAGATACTTGTAGCTAATGGTCAGCAGCCCACTAAAGTGATGTTTGCTGGTCAGTGGGTCATTGGCGCGCGCAATCCAGCTCTTTCCTCTCGTAATCGATATGGACCCAACATGTATCATCATGCAGAGCATTGGAAAGTTATAGGAAACGCAAATGGGGATGCGCTGTACAAATCGGGTGTTTGGACCAAATGTTCCAAGCCTGGACACATGGGGTGCCTAGACCAGTTCCCCACTGATGGTGATCTTCAGTTTGGTGACTTCTTTATGGCCTAATTTTTTTTTTACACCAAGGACATGGAATCGAAGAAGTAGACTGAGACAAATTTTGTGAGCTGCATCAAGGAAGCTGTTTCTAGGAGTGATCTTTAGAGGCCATTATCAGTCTTTTTAAAAGGCCATTTTTTTAAATTTCTGCGATGTCTATGCAACATTTACCATATCTGAGTGAATGTTAATGATATGGTACATAGTTTCTTCTCCAACGTTTCTGTTTATCTTGTTCTTATATGAAAGCCTTTATGCAGATTTTCCTTCGTAGATCTCTTGCTTGATTATTTTTAAGTCAGCAGACATTTTCTTTCGCTTATTTCACCTTGGTTACCTTAAATCTTAACTATAAATAAACGAAAATTGAGGAGAAAGTCGCTCAGAAAAGAGCAAATGACTCGAAGGAGCATATTTTCAGAGTAAGAAGAAATGCACTTGGTTAAATCTGATTTGTTGGCAAGTGGTTAGGTGCTATTTGCTCCGAAAAGTGTTAGATTGACCGCCCAGCTCGTGGCACTTTTAAAAGCATTGTAACCTTAATTCCTATCCGATCTGAGTAAGTCTTCCCAATTGTAAAGTCATTCAGTTTTAAGGAAAAAGAAGTTTAACCAAAGGGCAATGAGGAAAAGATGTCTTTGAAAGAGTTAACCAGTTTGGCAAAAAGTGTAAGATTCAATGTTACAAGAAGTGAAAAAAGTGATCAAACTAACCATGTGATCTCACAACCAATGACCGGTTCTTTACCGGTAGAACACGCTTCCGCGGATGCTTGGGTGATGTCCTTTTGGAATCATGTAAACAGTTCCAGGAGGGTGTAAAGAGAAATGAAAGAGTATTTTTTAAGTCAATTTACATATACGCACGAGAACTCAAACTTGCCTTAATCTGCACAATATTTCATTACACTGCTAGTTGGACTGGAAAGCCAGCTATTTTGGACTAAAGTTTCAAAATATACGCACGTGCACAAATCGACCATGTCAATCAGGCTGCTAAACTAACATATCAAACAAACTTTACATACAACTGTCAGTTAGAAAGTCGTCGTGCCCAGGGCCTGACCACAGAATTTCCGTAAAGGTCAAAGTCATCCGGCCCAGGGCCTGACCACAATTAATATCTGACGAACATTCTGGCCAATTTTCATGAAAATCCAATAAATCTACCAGGAGATAACTCGCGTAAAAATACGAGTTTTCGGCCTCCGAAGAAATTCACAGTTTTCGCACCTTATTTAAGCGCGTCATGCCACCAACCCAATCCCCTGGCAGGTCTTGTGACAAAAACTCCTTCTGTAAAGTTCATTTCGTGAAAGGGGGTAAACAAAACCAATGAAAATCTTAAAATTCACCAGAGGCAGTTAATTAGGGTTTCTCCTGATGAACCCTGATCATACCTTGAGGAACCCAGTCTTTCTCTGTGTTGTCAGGTTTAAAGGAATATCCTGAACACACTCGACCTTTTCGTGGTGCAATTAAAGTTTTGTAAATAGAATAAGAAAGATGGTAAGTTTTGCGCTCGATAAAGAAATAGAGAAAGAGCTTTTTCGTTTGTCTCGTGCGTGAGACAAAGAACAAATTCTGAGTCCTAATGAGGAATCGAACCTCAGATCTTCGGATTCCACGCTCCGATACTCCGATGCTCTACCACTGAGCCACAGAGACTCTATGATGAGCAAGGCCCATTACGAAGTTCTTATATGACACCCGTCCTGCATACGGCTAAGATCAGCAATGTCGACAGCGTCTAAACTTCTCATGGCATCCTCTTGCACCGAATGAAGACAAAATAGGATTTTATCATAGGATATCAGAATTATCATCAAACTTCAACTTATGATAAGTCTCGTTTATCTTTATCGGCTTCCTTCTCAAAATAAAAAATCACAATAGATAATAATTTCATCGAATTTTCCATTCAATAACATTTCCACTGATTTCTAGTTTATGTTAGTTACCCGTAAGACAGCGCGCGCACTCTAAAAGGCACCCGCGAGGGTCCACCCGCGAAGGTTTGAAGAAACCTTAGATGGTAGAGGTATTTCTCAAGGGATTGGGGTGAGCAGTGGAATGACAGTTAATTAAGAGGAGCACAAGTGGCTAAGAAAAAAAGCATGCGCGGGTTGGATGGATGGATGCAACGGTGAACTTCATGGTTAAATGTTCGAGAGAGGATTATTTTCCGGCGAAATTTTCTGAGGTAAGAATAGTGATGTTTTAACTTGAACGGTAAACTTTTCTAGTTTTAGTCTCAAACTATAGGATGTCTATCTGTCTTTCCTACGATCACTTCGACCTAGGGGAATTGATCTCGAAGCTGTAAACGGCCGTCTAGCTCTTTCGATAGGAATTACAATTGTTGCTAGGTTCAAATTATTCTGTCGACTTCACCTTATCAAGGTAAGTTTTGATAAAAATAACCGATGCCGGCCCGCACCCGCACAGTTCAAGGTAAAATTTTTTCAAGTTTCCAAGAACATACCGACTCGAATTTGGGTCTTACATGTTAAAAGAAAAACATAACCAGTAACCACGTGTTTTTTCAGAGGACGTTTGTTTAGATGATGGTCTCAATGGATTTATGGCTTTTACAGCTATCGGTTAAATATTTCGGCCACTTGATGTTTGAAGGTTAATTTCCCCAACGGTCAACAGAAATGTTATAAATTCACTTCAAGTATTTTGCAAAGTTCATTACTAATTTGACTACCAGAGGTAATCTACAAGGGTTGTTCCAGATTAAGCTGCTGTTGTGCTGATATAACCCGAAATTTTGGCTTGGTATTTATGACCAAGAAAATCCGGCGATAAGATTTCTTTAGTAAAATACTGAAATTAATTCTTGACTTACATCTTTCAATTGGCCTCTCCTCCGTTGCTCGATATAAATGAATTGTGCCTTTCAGGAGAGCCATTCCTCACTCACTGAATGATGAAATTCGAGATTTTCTAAAGTAGTCAACAGTCTATCAACGTACTGAATAATTAAGACGTGTCATTAGTGTCACAATTTTTCCATTTAAACTCTTTATTCAATAACGCAACAGCTACTACATGACAACATGGGCGAAATCAAAATGGCGGGTCCGATACCACGTTTTTTCCCACAGGTCCGATGGGAGCGCGTGGTATGACGTAATATGACATCCCCCTTTCTACCGATGTAATAATAATAATAACGACAAAAAAAAAAAAAATGGAACTTATCATATCTCCAGAACATTACAATACTGGTTGAAAGGATATCCCTCCTGTGCTTATACTTATAAGTCTATTCTTTAGTGTCTCTACTGTTATAGATCCAGCCTTTGTGCAGGTGTCACAGTCCTCCCAGATCTGGTCACATATCCTCCAGCTATGTCTGAGGGTCCCTGGGGGATGTTGTTCAGTGGCACTGTTTCGCCAGATCCTGGTCTGGGGGCTGCACCGTTTTTGTGCGATGTCTGTGTGTGACTGACTGGGGCAAGACTAGTTGTCTGCTGAGGTATCTCAGAACCTTGGTATACTGGGGTTTCCACCCGCTGGCATTGTGTTCCCCTCACTGCAGTTGTGTCTGGTTTCAGTTGGGCCCGTGTTCTTCGATAGGTGGTACCTGTACTGCTGGATCTGATGATGTAAGATCTTGGCTGTTTGGCGGGTTTTACAATAATGCCAGGTTCCCAGGTTTGTGAGTGGTGGTTGTACGTGCGGATGGGTTGGTCAGCTTCGAATGGCTTTTTGGGTGGTCCTGAATGCTGGTTGTAATAGTGGGCTTGTTTCTCCTGACGGGCTATGAGCTTACTTTTCATGACCTCATGGTGAGAGTGGTTGAGGAGGACTCTATGGCATGCTGGTAATCTAGTTTTAAATTTTCTGTTGGTGAGCAGTTCTGCTGGGGATTTCAGCTGGTGATCCAAGGGAGTGGCCCGGTATGATAGGAGAGCAAGGTACGGGTCCTCTTTATTTTCATCGCACTTTTGGAGAATGTTTTCCACGGTCTGGACCATTCGCTCAGCAAACCCGTTGGATTGGGGGGTATAGGGGGAGCTAGTAATGTGTTCTACCCCGTAGACGTTCATAAAATGCTTGAATTCTGCCGAACTGTACTGCGGTCCGTTGTCGGTCGTCAACTGCGTAGGGATGCCGTGTTCTGCAAAGATGCTCTTCAGATGGTTGATAACTGCAGATGACGTGGTGCTTGTTAGTCTCCTGATGACAGGAAATCTGCTGTATTGATCTGTCAACAGGAGGTATTGCTGCCCTCTAAATTCGAACAAGTCCGAACTGAGTCTTTCCCATGGTCGGTGTGGCGGTTCTGGCTGTAGTATTGGCTCTTTCCTTGCTTTATTTTGGTATTTCTGGCAGGGTTCGCACTGGTTAACTTGGTTGATGATTTCCTTTGTAATTCCAGGCCAGAAAACGGATGTACGTGCTCGTAAAAGGCATTTCTCTTGCCCTAGGTGGCCTTGGTGTATGATGTTCAGGATTTCAGGTCTGAGAGTAGGAGGTATCACGATGCGGTCTCCTTTTAGTACTAAGCCGTCCTCGATGGTCAGCTCTTCTCTGAAATTCCAATAGCCATGTAGCAGTTGGGGGCACTCTTCTCTTTTCTGTGGCCATCCTTCAAAGACCATTTCTTTTAACAGAGACAACACAGGATCCCTCCCTGTTTCGTCACGGATCTGTTGTAGCTTTGTTGGAGTTGCAGGGAGATGTTGTGTGACGTGGTGGACATATATCTCTGAAAGTTGACTGCTGCTAGGGGTAGGCTGGGGCTGACTCTTGAGAGAGCGTCGGCTATTGGTACATCAGGACCTTTTACGTAGTTGACCGTAACGTCGTATTTCAGGGCTCTCATCAAGAACCTCTGTAATCTAGGTGGGCAACTGGACAGTCGCTTCTTGAAAATCGCCTCAAGAGGTTTATGGTCAGTGTTTACTGTACAGTGCTTCCCAAAAATGTAGTAGTTAAATCTCTCTAGGCCCCATACTACACCAAGTGTTTCTCTCTCAATGTTGCTGTAGTTTTTTTCTGTGTCTGTAAGTGCTTTGGAGGCATAGCATACAGGTTGCCCCTGCTGCAAAAGGACGGCGCCTACTCCCTTCTGGGAAGCGTCAGTTTGAATGACAGACTCGATGTTTGGGTCAAAGTATCTGAGGACTCCCATTGATGTGATTTCCTGTTTGACTTGGTTGAATGAGTCGTCGTGTTCAGGTCCCCATACATATGCGGTGTCCTTCTTGGTAAGTTCTCGCAGTGGTGCTGTGAGGCTAGCCAATCGCCCTGAGTATCTTGTAAGGTAGTTTACGAGGCCTAAGAAGCTTTGGAGGTCTTTGCGGTTCTCAGGTGGGGTCATCTTCTGGATTGCAGATATCTTACTGTCATCTGGTTTGATTCCATCCTGGGTCCATTTGTGGCCGAAAAAGCTGACTTCCTGACATTTGAGCTGTACTTTGTCTTTGTTGAATTTGATTCCCCTTTCCCTGGATCTGATCATGAGGTTTACCATGTTCGCATCGTGCTCTTCCTCTGTAGCTCCGTATATGAATGTATCGTCTGCAATGCCGGTGACTCCTTTCAGGCCCTCCAGTGCTGAATCTAAGTGTTTCTGGAACACATCTTGTGATACAATAAGGCCAAAGGGGAGCCGGGTGAAACGGTATCTCCCGAACGGGGTGTTGAAAGTAGTCAGGTAGGAGCTGGCTTCGTCTAATGGTACATGCCAGTAGCCCTTTTTGGCATCAACTACACTAAAAGAATTTGGCACCACTAAGCTGTGTGACTACCTCATCAATTGTTTTGGTGTAGTAGTGTTCGCGTTTTATTGCCTTATTTAGGTCACGTGGATCGAGGCAGACTCTGATTTTGGTGACTTCTCCTTTGCCGTTGGTTGTTTCAGAGGACGATGCTATTAACCCAGTCTGTGGGTTCGCTTACGGTATGAGCACTCCAAGTTCTACCATGGTGTTGATTTCCTTTCTAAACATGTCTCGAAGGTGTACTGGTACGGTACGTGGTGCGTGGATGACAGGTTCAGCATTGGAGTCTAGGGTGATGTGATAAGGTTTCATATTGAAGGTTCCCAGGCCTTCAAAGCAGTCTCCGAAGTTGTTGAAGAAGGTTATCCTGTCCAGTGGGGGTATGTTTCAGTGTCTAGACGGCTAGGGTATC